AGGCTCATATAGCTTTAAGGAAGATGTCAGTGATCCTACAGCTGGTAAAGTGGCAGAGCTGGGATTCAAACCAAGTGCTTCTGAGTCCAGAGCCTTTGCTGTTAACCACAGTGCCAGTAGCTACAATGCCAGTCAACTGCCAGGCTGCAGACCAGGGCCACAGCCAGAGGAAACTTTCACAGGTGCTCAGGGAAATGAGGAAAATAAGGACGATGTTTTGGGTTTTTCATAAAGCTGAATTTATTCCATTTAAATGACCATCCTTTATTCTGAGGTCCTTCCTACTTTGGTATTCCACATTTCCTCCTTAATAACAGTACCAAATGATAGTATTTTTCTTATCATTATAAAAAGAAATATAGGCATATATCTAAAATATCCAAATAGAGAAACAAGCTTATAAAATTCAAATTCTCCCTACCTTACCTTTGACCTGCAGTCCGCAGTGCCCACCATAGAAGCAACAATTACTAGTTTCCCATGTATCCTTAATATGTGTATATGTATGTATATATAATTTTTAAGAAATACAAATGGTATTTAGAATCTACACATACTGCTTTGTATATTTCTTCAATTTAAGAAATATCTCAGTACAGTTGGCTATATTTAAATTAATTATTTTAAAAAATGTTTACTGAATCCCTAGCTAGCCACCAGAGTTGGAGAACTGGTGTTGTATGCACTGGAGCCACAGCAACAAACAAGACAGACGTGGTCCCTGCCTTCATGGAGCTTGTTGTGTGACTGTCATGGGAGAGACAGTCACACAACAATAATGATAATAATAAAGTAGAATAATTGCATGTTGTGGTGAATGCTAGTAAAAAAAAAAAAAAGACACTGAATAGAGAATAGTGAGGGGCAGGGGTTGAAGAGACTCTCTAGGGAGGTGACATTTAAATTAGCCATGGGAGGAACAGGCAGAACGACATTCCAGGCAGAGGGAACGCAAATGCAAAGACCTTGAGGTAAGAAGGAAGTTGACTCATTCGAGGAACTTAAGGAAGAAAACAGAGGCAAAGAGATGGCAGGGGCAATGTCAGAATGAACTGGGAAGCTGGCAAGAGGCTTAAAGGTGTGTGTGGCATGGTCTGGTTCATGTAGATCCTCCGTAGGGACCAGCCCAAAGGCTAGTGAAGCACTTCAAGCAAAAGGTGATGGTGGCCCCGGGCTGGGCTGCTAGCTCTAAGGAATGAAGCAAGGGGACAGATTCTAACCATCTTTCGGAAGTAGAAGAAAGTGCTTCAATGATGGGCCAGATCGGAGTCGGGTGAGAGGGAAAATCAAGGGTGGTACAGGTTGTACAGTTTATGATTCAGGTGTCAGAGAAGGTTTTAACTTGCTCGTCTCGGTCAGCAGCACCTCCAGAGCATTCCAAGCAAAGAGCTGAATGTTGCTATCTGGAGCTCAGAGAAGAAGGTCTCGGCTAGAATGAAAGTTAGGAGTTATTGATCTCCAGTTTCAAATATCTGGGGATAGGTTTGGGTGTGGAAAAGAATGTTACAGTTACTGACTCAAGATGCCCATTTTAAAACCTAGCTTATAAATCTTATTATTTCATCACAAATCTAGTAAAAATAAGAACAATCACTTATTTGTTCTTTGATTACTGTTGAATTAATTCTTAAGATTTAATTCTCCTTAAACATTTCAACTTATGGCCTGAATTAATCAAATTTCCTCAGACATTTCAAACTACAGTTACAAATCTAATGTACCTGGTTTTCACAAACACTTTAAATGCCTAATAGGTCAGACTTATTTATCTAAAAAGCAAGATCTCTCTAAGCACTTAAGCAACTATTGTAAATTAATTACCTAAACGTAAATGTAGCAAATCGGATTCTCTTGGCCATTTCAAAAATCTTAAATCCAACACCATGCAGAACAAGGGTCACAGAAGCTTCTCTCCTAAATCCATTTCTTCATTATCTGAATATTTATATTGCCTTTCTGGAGTTACAGATTTACTCTCCCAGCAAACAGATCAGAATTCTTTCCAAATATTGCCATTTGGAACCAATCTACATAATTTGGAGAAAGCTTATGATAAAGCATTCCTTGAAGACTACAAAACTGTACGTAAAGGATAGTTAAAAGCATGTATCCCTGCCCCCCAAAAATATATAGAGGCTGAGAGTATCAGTCTGGGTCTAATTAGAAGAGAGAAACCACACAATAATTTGAACAAGAGTAATATAAAGATATATTAACTATAATAGGGGACTGCAGTAATAAGGCATTGCCTAGTAAGAAGAGAACTGTAAAGAACATAGGCACAGCAAACATAAGGAGCAGCCTGAGGTAGAGCACCCACAGGGCTGAGTTAGAGCACCTGAGGAAACAGCCTCCTATCCCTCTCCCCTGCCTACCCTAGGACTGGTGCCAGGGGAAGCTGGTGCTGAAGAAGCTGTGTGTAGTGCAATAGCCTGACACTGGACGCAAATGCAGTTTGAAAAAATATCTAAGTGCAAAATTTATGTGGGAAATGTAGAGCTCTTATCCATGGCAATCAGCTTTGGAACCAACATCACACACTGCCTTGTACAGATACCCAGCTGTTTCCTGTGTGTATGTCTGAGCTCCCCTGCTAGAAGATATTCTCTTTTAAGGCAAGGATTATGTTTCATCTCCTCCTGTGGCCAACCCTGAAATAAGTATACACAATATGCTCAATAATTTACTTTTGAATATATGAACTCTGAAGGAGGAATACTAATAAACTGTGCCTTTTTCCATTAATTTTTTATTCTATTTTTTCCTTCTAAAAAAGCAACAAACATTTATTGGAGAAAATGCAAGGTAGACCAAAAGGAGAAAAAGATCAACCATATTTCTACTACCCCAAAATAACTACTATTAGTTCTTTGGTATATTTCTTATGTACAAATAGTTTTTATTTTTTAAAACATAGATGTATGTATATCTCATATGCAATTTTATATCCTCTGAATTTTTACATAAAGCATTTCTCCAACTCGTCAACTCTTTGTTGAAGAGTCAATGCTGAATTATTATACATAGAAAATGTTTACACTGATATCGAAACTACTTTTATTGAAAATATCATGACTGCAGAATCTCTCATTATGAAGACATAACTTACTTAACCACTTCCTTGTGGAAGTTTTAGGTTATTTTTCTTATTATAAATAATCCCATAATATACATTGTTGTGTTTAAATTTTTCTCTGGTAGGTCAGTTTCCTAAAATGGCTGTCCCACATGTGAAATTACTAGGCTAACGGGTGCAAATACCGTTAAGGCCACTGAGGAAAATTTAAGATCACAGGGCATTGCTTCTAAACATGGAAACCGGTAGCTTTCCCTTTTTCAACAGGTAGGAACCAGAACCCTCTTGAATGCCACCTAGTACTACTAAAATAGGTACCTGTGCTCAAATAACACTCCTAGGCCTTTCCATGCCGCTCCCCACAAGAAAAAACACTACTCAGCCCTGAATGATTGCGTGACTGCATGACCCTAGGCCAGTTCCTTCTTTGGCCCTCATTTGTCCCAAGGTGCCCAACGGAAAGGTGGCCTGACTAGGGGTGCTAGACTAGAGGATTTCTCTATCAGCCCTTTTGAGTATGTGTGACACCCTTAGACGTTGAACCCCAAGCTCGGGGGCTTGGAAGGGCGCGGTCACCTCGCGGGTAGACCCGGAGCCTTAAAGCAATAGAAGCTACAGCTTACAGACCTCCAGAGAGCCCAAGACACCGCAAGCCCTTCCCCAAACCGAGATTGTCCCTTGGTCCTCCACCCCCGGCCTTTTCTCCATCTCCTCCGCAGGCCCTCCTCTTCCCTCCCCGCGGTTCATCTAGTCCACCCTTCAGGCCGTATCGCGACTCGCGATCCTTCTCAGCAGAGGGGTCGCCCAAGACTCTGGGGGTCTCCTTCCCCTCCGCTCCCCTCCTCTTTCGCAGTGCAAGCCAATCCCAGTTTCCACAGTCTGGGGTCTCCACCACACTCAAACATCCAACCTCGCAAGACCCGCATCATCTCCTCTGCACATCTTTCCACATATCTATACGGGTTTGTCCTCTGTCTTTCCCGCCATGCCTGGCTTTCTGTAGAGTTTCACCTGCCCTGCCTGCCACCGGTCTGCGGGTCCTCTGGCTCGGGTCCTTCCGTTTTACCAGTATGTTCTTCTCATAACAGCACCTCTCTCCCTTTTAGGTCCCTCGTCATATGCCCCTCCCTATGTCTCCCCCTCTGCGCCCCCGCCCCCGTCCGTACTTCTGTCCGTCCCGAATGTAATCCTCCGTTGCCGGAGTCTAGCCTTCCGTCCTACCAGGCCCCTGGTCACCATCTCTCCCCAGGCTTGGAGTCTGCAGCCCCATTTCCCTCCCTCAACATGGGAACTCTTTCCTCTACCACTTTCTCTACTTTGAACCCATCCCAGCAGAGTCCAGGAAGTAGCCAGGCGCCGGGGAATGGCGGCGATGGGGCCCAATAGAGAGCGCCAGCGGTGGCAGCGGCCCCGCCCAGAGAGCAAATGCTACCAATGGGCGCGCGGAGGCGGGACTTCCGCTGTCCCGCGAAGGGCGGGGGGAGCGAACTGTTGTGGTGCCGAGCGTTGGGCGGGCGGCGGCCGGGTGGGGCAGGGGCTGCCGCGGGACTCGGG